CGATGCAACACCTCGATATGCCCTGTGCAGCGCGTATCGACGTCCTTCCTCGATGCTGGTCCTCGATGCAGACTAACGGCTTGTAATCCTCGTGCTTACCCCTTTCCTCTCGTCCTGCTGCTCGCATCGAGCATACTCCATGGGTGTTTTGCTCGATGTGCTTGCTCGATATGGACTAGACTGTGCAAGAGCTCCATTTCTGGTATCTCCTTTGATCATGAGCTGCTTCCATTCCTTCCCCAGCTCCAAGAAACCCCAAAAAAACCTGAAGACCACTACAAACATGCACATGTATCCAAATGTATGCAATCCTAAGCTAAATGCATGCCATGTTGATTCTAAGTGCAAATGATACTACAATGCTAAACTATAATGCAAAAACAGAGGAAAAGATGCATGAAATGCAGCTTAAAATGATCTAAAATAGCAAGCTGTCAACACCCCCACACTTAGTTTTTTCTTGCCCTCAAGCAAATAAAAGATCAAGCATGGTGATGAGGTTTTAAAATGGGAATTCATGTCATTAAAATGCTAACAGTATATCAAAATGATGTCCATGTTTCTAGTGCTAGAATGCAACTGATGGAACTGTACTCTAAAACTTAGCCACACTTATCACAAAATGAAAATGATTCTCAAGCTATCAATCTACACAAGCCCTCAAATAACTTGACCTTTTTAACATTCAATTAGCAAGTAACCAATGGATCAAGTTTATGCAAATCAAGTGAAATCATTTGGTTCAAGCGGCATGGTTATGTGATAAAAATGATCTCATTCATCAATGGCTCAAAGAAACAGGGGATCTCTCATATGAAATGAATATATCTTAGGCAAAATGCTAAAGGTAAAAACATACTTATTCATGCAAGTCAAAGCTCTCTTCTACCCTTTTCCCAAAGATGATCATAATTAAGTCCAAGTCCCAAGATATTCCCCTAAATCTACCCTTTCCCAAAGCTCTTTTGCTCCTTTTTTTCTTCTTGAAATGTGGGGAACTTCTTATTCTTTTGCTTGTGTGGCTGACTTCTTTTAGAACTTGCTCTTCTTTGTTGTATAGGCGTCAATTTTCATCACCTTTTTGGTGAATTGCTTGGCCTGATTTTTCTCCTTTTGGATGATCTTTGTAAGCTTGTTGTTGCTGGCGCCTTTTCTTCTTTGTAACTTAGAGCTTTCTTCTTTTTCACTTAGCCACAAGATACAATCATTTTCCTACAATATCATTTCGTTCATGAAACCATTCCCACTCTTCTTTTCTTCTCAAAAGATACAAACATTTAAAGCTTAAACCACTTAACTCTACCCTTTCCCAAAACTCCTAACCTAGTATCAAGCTCAAAATGCAAGCTGATGTCTACAAGAGAGTTTTTCCTTGCCAGCCTTATTCCTAACACTTTTTGCCAAGATAAGTTCAAAAATGATAATGCAAGGCCTCACAAACTCTCACAATAGTGTTTGAGTTTAGAAGGAAGGATTGGTTCAAGGTGTGGTTAACTGTCCCTTAATGATGAAGATCAGCTACTTGGATCAACAAGAATGGTGAAAAGGAAGAAGATGATCCAAATATGTATATTGGTAGCCATGCAATCACTTTCAATGCACAAACAAGATATTTCAAAGATCAAATTAAGGTTCCACTTATATAAAGGTTAAAATCAAATCAAGCAAGCTTCAACTTCAAACAAGAGTTTCAAAATCATAAATTCAAAGAGTGGTTCAGCCTTATTTCAAGTTCTTCATCAAATGCATCAAAATACTAAGAACAAGGGCATCATTTTCATAAACCACTAGCATTTTCAAAGATTCACTATCATTGCACCCATTTTAAACAAGCAAACTACAACATTAATGAAAGAATGAAGTCTAAGTCCTATATGAATGCACATGAACACTGTTTTTAAGAAATAAATTTTTTAAAAATTTCAAATTTTTAGTGATTTTATATGCCTTTAGTGCAATGCATGTTTGCTAAGCTATAAGTAAATGAAAATGTGATATGGATGCAAAACGTTACTCCAAGCAAGCTTTCCCCACGCTTAGAATACACAGTCCACTGTGTATTAGAAATGCAAAAAGAGGCAAACCACAATTTAAAAATGAAGTGTAAAGGAGAAGGTGTAAAGAGTAAAGGAAGAGGAAGGTGTGTACTTGCATTGGAGGTTGGAGGGGTGGAGAATTGGATAATCATTGGTCGAGGTGGTTGATGGTGCCCAAATGATCGTGGCGTCCTTGCGGATCAATTTAAACATTTGCATTAAACAGTTACATAGAATGGTGAAGAATATATAATAGAACAAAGTGCAATAAATAGTACAACATACACTTTCAAGTTAAATAAGGAACACTGCATAAGAAATCAAAGTCTAACAGAAAAACAAATACTCTTACAATATAAAAACATCACTTCTACATATTAATTGAGAATATAGTTAAATGAAAAAATGTTGATTTGTTTTAATTTTATTGGTTAGTATGTTTAGTTTGACCAATTTAAATATGAAATGTAAATGATGACGTGTAATGATGATGTAATTATGATATATCAATTTTTTAGTACATGTGGTTTGTGACATGATATTATTTTATTTATATATTAAATTTGATGTTAAATTTTTGATACAAAATACAAGTATTCAAGTTTTTAATGGAAAATTTGGAAAATAAGATTTTTGTCGATACAAAACATTTGTCAGAAAATTTACGGATATCAAGTATTTGACATAAAATTTATGGCACTCTATTTTTCCAAAATGTTTTGGATATCACATTTTGGACAGAAAAAAATATGGATTTAAAATCTTTTGGCAAAAAAATCACGAAATCAATTACGAAAACTTGTTAAAATCACATTTATAAACTAATTTTATGACGGACAATTTATGCATTCACTTCATTGGCGAAAAATTTACAGATTTACTTTTTTAACAAAAAAATATATTTCACTTATTTGGCGGGATGTTCATGAAATCAAAATTTTGAATGGTACATTTTGAAATCATATATCAATATAAATTTTCTGGCAAACTTTTTCTTTATAGATTCACTTTTTGGTGGAAAATTCACAAAATTAAAATTTCAACAAAATAATTTTGGAATCATATTTTTGATGTATTTTTTTGTGTGAAAGTTACTGATTCCCATTTTTTATAAAAGTTTTGCCGAATGGGGTTTTTGATGGAAATGTTTTGGAATTTTATTTTTAAGTAAATTTTTGGCAGGATATTTAGAAGTTCAAATTTGTGGAATCAGATTTTGGAAGAAGATTATTTAACCTTTATTTTTATCTAATCTTGTTTCATTACAAACATAAAACAAAAGTTTATATTATATTTGAATGTACTTTAATATAGCGAGAATTATGAATAAAAAATAGGACGAAATGTAACTGAATGAGAAAAAGAAGTATAATAAGATGAAAAAAATATGAAAAAAGTAGAAAAAAATAAAATAAAAAATAAAAAAGAATATTTTGAGTTTTGTATATATTTTATTTTTTGTTATATACAATTTCTGAAATCTATTAGAATATTTATCACAAACTAAAAGTTTTTACAAATATATTAATAAACAGCCAATCATTTATTTATTATAAATGATAAATATTATTATTAATAATCTTTATCAAAATTTTCATGTCTGCATATATATATATATATATATATATATATATAACCAACTAGTTTATACTACAACGATTGTGTGAGCTTATCCCTCACTATCTTCAGATTCGACATAATCTTATCCTTTCTTCTTAGCCGTCGTTTCCGACATAAGAACCACATTCGTAGACTTGTTCTCTTACTCAATTTCAATCCTTTTTTACAAATATCTCAACGATAGATTCTAAGAATTCAAATTAGTTGTGAATTGAATTTGGTGGGAAAAAAATAAGGATTGACTGATTGGTTTGGTAAAAGGGATTATCGTTGAATTTGGTTGAACGATAAATAATATAACCGCATAGAGTTGCTCAGAGAGTATAGAAATAGTTTTCAGGATTCACCAGTGGACTAAGTTGGCTTTCGTTGTTGGGTTTATGCTCTTGTATCAATTTAGAAGCCATTGCTTCTTAAACAAAGCATAAATGTGTGATAAAGAAAAGTAAAACAGAATTGGAAGAGAAAAGAAAACAGAGAATAGAATCTGGAAAATTTCTCTTTATCTGGACAATCTTATATTTACACATTACTATCACTTATATAGTGATCTTACATAAACGAACACAACTGTTAGTAATGATACATAACTGTTCATAACTTTATATGTACCATTTCGTTAAGTTACGACTAACATACCTCTTTTTATTTTACATAACGCTCGTTTATATAATTAATATATAAGCAAACTCAATTATATACTAACATTCGTTTCATGCGCTTGCAACCGTCTCGTGACCATGGATGAGTCCTTGCAACTTTTCTCATGTGTTGTGTTGAGTCGCTTGATCTGAGTCGAAACAAGTTTGCAAAGATGGATAATCTTCGGAGATGTTCCAGGTTGAAACACCTTGATCTGGGATTCAATCAACTTAGAAAACTCTCTCACTTGAGTGAGGTGGGAAACTTCAGGTTTATGCATGTCCATCTTTATATTTCTTTCCTTCTGAAGTTGCTTAACATCTGCGTTTGTTAGTTAGTATCTTTCAAACCCATTTAGCTAGTCTTGTTGGTTCTAAAACTACTATGGCTTTGTTTGAAACTACATAGATATAAGAACACTTTGAATGCTGCAGATTCTCTAGTTAATGTTTTTCCTTTTTTAAAAATATATCTTGATAGAAAATTCAGCCGCGTGAAGTGGATTGCAAACATTATTTTGTAAGCATTAATCTATTGATGACAAAAGAAAATAAAACTTGCCTTAAGAAAAAAAAAAAAAGAAATACGTTATCCTGATGTCACTTGATTGATGTACGGATGGATAATACATGGCCCTTATTCATTATGCTTACTGATGTCATCACTTTATTGATGTACGGATGGATAATACATGACCCTTATTCAGACAGCGGTAAAAGAAGAAGCAGTCTTAAATTTGTTCTGTAGATCCACGACAATACTACGATCCAACTTGAATGCCCTTGCAAGAACATCCGGGTCTATCGACGGAGTACACCCAAACACGGCGTCAGCAGTAGTGCTAAGACCTGGGTTTTGGCTGTTCAAAGCAGTGAATGCAACTGCTGGGACGTCTCCAATATTGGCTTGGTAATGGATGAGTCCCTCTGGAAACAAAAATACATCACCCACGTTGAGTGTTTTGGCGAATAAACGATTTCCATCTTGGTCTGCCGTGACAAAACCCACTGAAAGTGTTCCTTGTGTGACAACCAAGAACTCGCTGGCACGTGGATGGGTGTGAGGCGGTTGCACCCCGTTCACTTCATAATCTGCGCGGGCAAACGAAATTCCAAGGGTATTTAAAGCCAGAAAATTATCAGCAGAGACTAAAGTGATGTTTGCTCGGTGCGTATCGGTTGGGTCTTTTGGATCGATAAGCCCTCTGAAAAAGAAGTCATCTGCTGTGGCGAGCTTTGGGTCTTTGCAAAACTTTCCGTTTACAAACACTGAACATGATAACCATATAACAAAAGAAGTATCAGAAATGAGAAACCAATGAGAGGTAAGCGTAAACAATCATTATGTAAAACACAAAAAAAGACAATCATTATGTACGCACCACCATTGACTGAGCTGTTTACGCCGACGCAGAAGTCTTGAACGCTTCTTGGATCAGAAATGGCTAGTGGAAGTGTTATAGCCAAGAGAGATAGAATTGCAAGAACTGAGAGACTCTTCATTAGCATATACTAGTTGAAGCAATTCTTAATTATCAGAGAGGAAGGGTATTTGTGATGTAAGAAACTTATGAGACATGTAGAGCTCAATTTATAGATAAAAACGTAGGGCATTCTCAGTTTTCTCAGCAAGTTGAAGATTCGCAATGGTGGCCACATGTTCAATATCCCATTAACTGTATCACGTGTTATATTCACTTGTAGTTTTGGTTTTTGTTTAATGGTTTGGATCACTTGTAATTAGGCCTTTCTCGTATAGGCTTACTAATGAAAACCTTTGAACGGTCAAAAAATAAAACGACAACAAATAATGATATTTTAAAAATATTATCTTGATATTTTTTGAAATTCTTCAAAAGAAAAAAAAAGGTCAGAACTCCCATGGACATATAAACAGGGACCCGAAGAGAGGAATGAGAAGCTCTTCATTGGAATATACTAGTTGAAGCAATTCTTAGAAGAGAGAAATGGTCTTTGTGATGTAAGAAACATATGAGACATAGGTGATACCGTGATAGAGCTCAATTTATAGATGAATTCACGCAGTAAACCAATATATGTATGTAAAATTTACAGGTGGCGTAAAACATGACTGCAAAAAAGTGTATTAAATATTAATTTTTGATATTTAAGTATTTACTTATATTTACAAAGCATGAAAAACAAAAAAGAAAAAAGAAAAAAGAAGAAAATATTATGGATACCAAAAAATACAAAACGCAAAAAGTTGATAAAACATAAAAATTAATAAGTGATTTATAAATTTATTTTGCATGTTTAAAATTTATAAATAAATTAGAAAAACTTTTATTTATTTACTAGTTTTTGTTATATAACTGCTGTATAATTTTTCCTATTTACCAAATATCTTTATTAATTACAAATAAAAAATCCAAATATTATTAAGAACATTAAAGGATGGGAGTACGTAGCTTGTGGAGATTTGACTTCTCTATATTGGTCTCTCTTTAATCTCTTAAATTGTCTCTCTTTAATTTTACACTAGACTCCGACATAATTCTGGTTTATTTATTATTTACGTACGTTGTGTTGTTACAGCATGTGAGTTCCTTAAATTCTGTCTTTTTTGTTTTTACTAAAAATTGTTATTTCAATAAGCCGACACAAGCCCATCAAATGTCCTTTTAATCATTTAATCGTTACCAAATAGTCGGAAACGGCGGCTAAGAAGAAGAGATCAAATCGTTCAGGAGCCGTGCCAACATTACTAACAACCCTAAGCCACTAAAAATAAAATGTCCTTTTCAAATATTTTTTCTAATAATAAATACTATCATTATATAACCGAAACAAATAGAGACCTAAAACTAGCAAACAATATGTTAGTTTTGAAATAAAATTGCTAACCATATTTTCAAAATCAAAATATATAACTAATTTTTTTATGGATAAAATAACCAACACACTCAATATCTTATATGGTATACCCGAACAAAGATAACATATTCAAATCACTCAATTTTTTATGTAACATAACCAATTCTATGTTTACAATTATTCTAGTTTTATAACAATTAAGAAAATTTCCATATTATCGTAATTACTTAACATTATAAATCCATGATGTTATAGTATAAGTCCATGTTTTGTGTATTTTAACTACCACAAAACTTCCAACTTTTAAATTTTGATTTCTATAAATATATTATTTAAGTTTAACTAAATAAAACTAATAGTAAAATGCCCTTAAAGTTTTCAAAAAAATTGATGCTCTGCGCGAGTGTTTCTTTTTGTTACATATAGGCACAGCAACGGCGGCGAAGAAGAAGAAGTGTTATTTCACTACAAAAATTACCTGATTGGCGAGGGACAAATCCGACGCAAATCGGCAATTGCGATAGATTTGCGATGCTAATGAAATTTGGTTTACTGAATTAGATAGAATGTATAAAAATTCAAAAATAATTGATTTCTAAATAATTTAAAGTGTTTTGTTGGAATAACAATGGTATTTTAAGATTTTGAAAAAATGAATAGAAATCCTTAATCTAATAACACAGATATTTAAAAGAACTGATAATATATAATTGAATAACAGTGGCATGTAATAAAATTTTCAATTCCATACAATTCAATCCAAATTCTAAATCCAATATCCTCACCGTAAATTGATATTTGTCGCAAATTCTTCATAAATTTTTAGATGAATATTATTACTTGCAAGGCCACCGTAAATTTGCAAGGGAAAGAGAGAGTTGTAAAGCCATCACAAATCTAGATTCTCATAAATCAGTAGTTAAAAAGCAGTAGTAAAAAGCAATATCGCAAACTTTGCGAATTAAATTTATAAGTCAAAAAAATATAAATTTGCGATGAATTGCGATGAATTTATGTCATACTATAGATTACGGTAATCGCTAATCCCTTGCAAATTTGCGACAGCGTTGCAAGAGATATTAACGACATCCTTGCAAGACATTTGCGATATATCGATATATCGATATATCGATATATATATATATATATTATAACTAAAATTTGATTTAAAAAATAAAATCAAAATAAAATTAATATTTAAAAAGAAAATTAAACAAAATTTAAATATTCATTAAAAATAATTGTTCAAATGAAAAGAATAAAAAAAATATAAAAACAAAGACGGATTATCAATTCTGGAAGATGGGTTATCGGTTTCAGTAGACGTGCCAGTTTTCGAGCTGTGAAAAAATTATGCAAAAGCTGAATCTATTTGTGCCATAAATTCAAAGAACTTATCAACTCTGCATCTTCTCAGTCTGAGACACAATAAAGTAGGTGAAAGACTAAAACATACGAGCTTTAGTCTCAATTATATTTTGCAGAGCGAGATCTGGTCAGGAGTAATAAGATGTAGAAGGAGTAGAAAACTCAATATCCGATTACAAAGAATCCACTTAGTAAATTCTTCCTTTTTTACGTCCATAAAAAAGTATTTATAAAATACTTACGTCCACATAAATCTTATTCTTTTTGACCGGAGTAAGTGTTTTTTAGATTATCGGGATTAATCTGAGACAACTCTTGCATCTTCGTAGTGACGTCGTTGTATATAGCTGTTTCAAATGTTTATCGACAAAAGATCCATCCAACTTTTATTTGGTCTCTTCCAATACCATTAACAAATCCAGAATAGTTGATCCAATCCAGGTCCGTCTAGTCTAAGAAAACATTTTAAGGCTCCGATTGGTAACACAATAAAATCGTGGAATTGCAGAAAAAATTAAGCTATGGAATGACGGAATGCAGAATAGCGGAATAATTATTTTATGATATGATTGGATAAATTATGCGGAATGGCGGAATGGTGGAATGACAGAATATATACAAAATTAATTTTTCATAATAATATATTTTATATATAATATGATATAATAAAAATTAAAATATTAATTATTATAAAAAACATAATTTTAGTATAATTAGAAAAAATAAAAGTTTTTGTAATTATTTATTTTTATTTCTATAAAATATATAAATATATAACAAAATTTAATCTACAGATATAATCTGATCATTATATAAATATATGTAGTATAAATATATTTATTCAAATAATAAAATATAATTAATTATATAATTGAATGATATAAAATATTGATTCCGCAAATAAGCTACTTGAAACACACTTTTCCACTTAATCAAATTTTCTTTGTATTTTTTGTAAGTATTTCCGCCATTCCGCAAAACTCGAGTTTTGGCGTTTTTCTGCAAGTTTTTATGATTGGCAAAATTCTTTCGGAATTGAGTTTTTCCACCATTCCATTATTCTACAAAATTTACCAATCACAGCCTATTTAGAATTTTTTAAAACATATAATTAAAAAAAAATTAAAAAACTTACTATCTTTCGAACGAGGGTTCTGACCGAAACGATGTTTAGGAGTTTCATATCCATTAGCATCACTGTATCGGGCTGTGAGGCAGTTGGAGCTCTTGACTTCGCTCTCCGAATCTAACCAAAATCTAACGAGCCCCTTCAAACTTCCGGGTCAAGCCATTTGGGCATCACATCATCGCCTTCTTTCTTCCACTTACTTTTCCACCATCCCACTCGGTCGGTCATATGCTTTATCAACTTGGTCTCAAATTCATCATTCACTCGTTTTTTTTTTTGGGCAAATCATTCACTCGTTTATTTATGACCATTTCCAATAATATTTTTGCTGTAATTAAATTGCATAAAATAAAATATTTCAAAATTAGCTTAAACATACTAAAAATTAATCAATTTAATTAACGAAAAAATTATGTTATTTATAGCAAATTGTTTGTACCGCTTGATGACAAATTTTGGAGTTTGCGTTTAATTTGCATGAAATAATGTGAAATATCACCACATGTATATAAATTATATTATATCAGCGATGTGTTTTTTTATTTATACTATTGTTGTTTCTATCGAAATCAAAATTTATAGTTTTGTAAATTGTTGCTTCGAAAAGTGACAATGTATTGAGCAGTGCGGAAAAAATTAATTAAGAGCACAGTGCAGTTAAACTGTGTGATATGTGAAAAACGTGAATAGAAATATTCTTAAATGTTAAAAGTGTGAATAGAAATATCCACTATTCCAAAAAAAAAAAGAAAGTCGTAACTTGTTTGAACTTTGGTACAAAAATAGAAAAATAGTTCAAAAAAAGAAAAAAAAAGGAAAGGTCCTAACTTGCTTAGACTTTGGTACGAGGCTACGAGCATAGAGACATGTCTTATTGTCTTATTCCAAGCTCCAATCCATGGATGAGAAGACACGTGGCACAACCTCACGTGGACTGAAAGATAATACATTAATCATTTGTCACCTTCAGTCCAATATTATCAATTTCTCTATTTTCTATAAAAAAAATTTGGGTGCAACTATTGCATGCTCACTCCCGTTATTCTCGTTGCGTTACCCTCAATCTCCAGCTATCCCTAAAAATTTCGAAATTTGGAATAAAAATTTATAGGTATAAGGGAATTTCGTTACCTCGCCGCTAGTGGCAGAAATCCTTGGATCCGTGAGGCCGATT